CATTGCCACGAGTGGCCTTAGGTCACAGGGCAGATGTGAGTTTCAAGGAAGACCGGGCCTTTTGCCATATAACATTCTATGGTGGGATTGTCTACTTGCATACGAAAAATAAGTAACGTAGTCGATTGTTATAACAATATACGTTTGCTTCATCGACAGTCCCATCAAAGAATGTGATATGACAAAAGGCCTGGACTTCATTAAAATGTACATCTGCCCTGTGACCCAACGGCACTCGTGGCAATGTGGTCAAGTGTCAAACTCACATCCTGCATTGTCACAGTTCGACTTCCGCTGTGGGTGTTGATAAGACCTATGGGAGGTCGAAATTGCAGTTCATGCTGGATAAGGACAACTTTTGGGAAAGCAAGGCTATTTGGAATTCAATGGAAACGACAGATCTACTTATATAATTGTGGGGAAATTCTACTAGTAGTCCTTCATCACGTTAAACAAAATAGGGTGAATACATCTCATATTACTGATTTACTCGTAGCCTCGAAACTCTACTTACATACGAAAAATATCAAGTCATAGACTTGGTATTAGGAATAGGAACATGATAGACATTGCGGAGACTGGAACTAGTTGGCTGACAGTAGGCCTGTTTACCATAGACGTGGTCCATGTAGCATAGGTTTGACAACGAGAGGCTATAGTCTCAATTTAATGACCCAGACCCAAGGGCTGTGTAATACCGCCTCGAGTAGCACAGATGAGGTGGTAAGGGTCGAGTGAAATAGTTAAGCCAGAGAGATAGCTGACGGATCCTACGGGGCAAGAGGGAGACTCTGATAAGACCTAGGGAAGGAGGACTATGTAACAATATGTCACATTCTGATCAACATTCCCAGAATAGAGGTGAAGTGGGGTGAAATAGCCAATTCGGAGTGTGTATGGTTCTTATGAAAGCTGCTCAAAATGACACATCCCACTACATTTAAATAAGAAAGGAAAATGGTGATAGTGAAGGCGTGTACAAGGATATAGGAAAGGTGAATAGACCAGGAAAGGAGATAAACCAACTGTTTAGCATACATTTGGTCAAAGGATCGGCTTCACTTGTCTCTGACGCGTTGTAGTGGGGTGCTAAGAATGACAAGACTCACTGACGATGACGGCGAAAGGTCTGGAAATATACCACGTCCACGGTCTGACTGCAAATTATTGTGCATACAATGGACTCCTGACCTAGTGCGTCCCTCTAAATCTTCCTACCAATATGACCAAGCTGCGAAAACTAGGTCAAACAATTTCTATACAACGAAAGGAGACTGCCACCACACAAAAGGCTACATCATCTTGGTCTTTATTTCTTCGACCCATCTTTTTTGTTTGATCCTCCAAGATGCCGCAAAGTTATAAATAAAACATAACACTTTCTTCGATAATGCCTAATTTTCGAGAGTACTCTGACCCTCTAGATGAGAGTGTTCATGCTGTAGCGTCTATGTGAGTGAGGCCTGTCGACTCACAAAATGGTCTGCAAGGGTCTGTGGGTCTAAAAATCGGAGGTGGCTGAACACGGCTTCTACAGGACACTACATAGACTGATCTAAGTCCAAACGCTTAGCTGGATATGGAGACCATCTGTAAGCGAAAAATAAGGGAATCTATAGCAATCAACAAAACGGTCAACATCCTAAATTTAGAAGGAACGAGTGTAGAAAATTTTGTGGAAACTGCCTTTGGCGGTCGATAGAATTATATAGAGGTAGTAGGAACAAGAAGTGCCGTTGGGCAAAACGAGGGAGGTTGATTAACCTCAAATTAGATTTTTACTCTCAAACCCTACGTGCCTCTAGCATTATATGCACGCAATAGACATGCAATGAAACACAACATTGAAGGATCAGAAATATATAAGTATTCTAAGGGAGGATGCAGCCGATCGGTTACAAATGCATCAGTTTCACTTTTCAACAACATGTACCAAAAACATAGGATATCCAACCAAATCATGCGATGTCTTATTAAATTGAATCATTTAAGCTATAAAAAGTAGATTGGATTGCAACAGGCCACCGTTTTTGTCTTTGTGCTTGTTGAATTATCGTAAAGCAGGATGTCCTGCTCTGCCGACATCCGCTACGTGACGGAAGAAAGCTCGGCGAAGATTAATCGGGGTCGCAGGGTGGTAATCCGAAGACCTATTAGCACTAATCTCCATGTGAGGCAAGCTTACGAATCCTTTCCATTCGCCTCTTCAAGCGAAACGAAAGGTACACCAACTGTCTCGTTTACTTGGTTTATCGCCATCTCCTGCTCTTAACTTCATAATTTCTTTAAGTTAGAACTCTATTTGTATTTCTGCTACTTATCTATGTCCACCTTATTAATCTTTCTATCCTCTAAACTACATTTTTTTCGTCCTAAATCCGTCTCAGATCAATTCACCAATAACATACTCCTTAGAGTCAGATCACAGCAACCTTATTTCGAATATCAACATTCTTAATTTATTGAGTCTATACGATATGTGGAGTAGGCCACTTTCACAATTAAGGTATGGGTGGAAGGAATACTAGTGTAGACATTTTCGCGGCTTATAAGGCATCCGATCTGAATTCTCTGTATCATTTAACACTAAACCTGCCGTATTCTATTATGAGCTAATTTAGAATATAATTTGCCTATGGGTTTTATTCGAGGAAAAACTTCATATTAGTCAGTTATTAACCTTAAGTCACCTAGGTTGACTGTCTTTCTTCAAGAATTACTACTAGTCTAGAAACTTACATCGAGAATAATTTCGAAAGATTTCGTTCTAAGGTCTTCTTAACTTTAACTATAACTACTCTCATTTATCCTGTTTCATTGAGATTTATAAATAGCTGTTTTTGCGAGTGCTTAAAATAATCATCCGTACCTTTCATAAAATAGAGAATTCGCCAGGATTTTTTAAATTATCTTATTTTATCTCTTTTGTTTAGAAAAAGGCCAAATCATCAACCAGCCTAGATCATATCGTTAAAAAGGCCTGCTCCGGAAGTCGCGTTCCTTCGGCTCCTTCTCGTGGTGGTCTGACAGACAAGGGCAGAAAATCCGCTGTGGCTTTTTCTGAGTCCAACCGAGGCAAGAAGGCAGGCAGAATCAAGAAAGATAAGCCGAAGCCATCCACGAGCAATTAAAAATCGCATAAATGATCGTTGTTATTCTTCTATATCAATTCTCGACCTTTCGCTGGCTCTTCGAAGCCTGGAACGTATATCTTCTTTGTTAAAGATAAATTTGTTCATATGTTCCGTTGAAACTTATATATATATATATATATATATTTGCATTTTATCAGCAATCTACATATCAACTTTGTGGTATTTTCCAATTGTTCTCTACCATCTCTGCTTTTCCCACTAGATTGAAGAGCCTCTGTCAGCCCACATACATTATTTCTGTTCGAGATTAACTTTATCGTCTGTTGAATGCTGTTAACAAATCTCACAAGAAATTGTGTAGTTTAATTTCTAGTATAATTTGGGTTGTAAAGTTTTTTGAAATGACATTCTTATAAATAATCAGTTTCTTACGCTAGATTTCAATATTAGAACTGCTTGATATAGTGGAATTAAAACCAGGCTTCGTATGACCTATGATTAAGGACAGTTTGCAATTTTCATTTTTTTCACTAATTATCTCCATCGTTGGTTAAATCTCGTTTTCACAATTTGGTCAGATCATCAGATAGACCTTTTGGAACGTACCTAGTCATGCGTCATCTGCCATAGTGTTTGATATTTCTAGCATCGGACCATTCACAGAGGATGCATGGCTTGGTACGTTCTACAAGGCCTCCTTGATGCTCCGACCAAATTACGTAGGCGAGGACAAGCCAACACTTAAAGCTTAAGGCGACTGCGTTCAGACAG